AATGTCCTTAAAAAGACTCATGAGCTATTTTTTTCATATCACTCTTGGAGAGAATAACTTTCTTGTTATTAATGATGAATTCCTATGTATAAACATCAATCATTTATTGCAATCATTATTATTTCACAACTTACATTCTGCCTCTCCCTTTCTTTACTTCTTTCTTCCTCCAGTCTCTTAATTTCTTTACTTCTTTCTTCCTCTTGTCTCTTAATTTCTTTAATTCTTTCTTTCTCTTGTCTAATAATAATAATAACAATAAATTACTTCTGTGAATCACAATTTCTTTTTTCTGTTTGCCTTTTAATTTCTTGTCTTTGTTCTTCTGCAAGTTGCTTCTCAACTTCTTCTCTTCGTTTTCTAATTTCTTCCTCTTTCTCCTTTAACTGTGCCTCTTGCCCCTTCACCCAAGCTTCTTTATCCATCTTCTTTATGTTTTCTTGAAGCTTTGCTGTATATGTCTCATCTACTGCAGGTGCATCTGTAAGTTGTAGTGTGCTGTCTTCTACATCAGGAGGCTCCTATTCAAAAACAGTCATATTAATACAAAAATTGGTTATACTACTATAATTACTTGAATATTTTCATTTGCTTCCAAGAATTGTTTCAGCTTTAAAATTTAAAGTATATAATGATAATTTATATTCTATCAATAATTATAATTTACTTTCTCCAACAACTCTGGTTCTTGCTCTGCAGTCACTTCAGCTCCAGTTTCGACTTCATCTTCAGCGACAATTCTACTTTTATTGATTTGAAGGAAGAGTTTTATTCCCTTCACTCGTAAGATGCAAGCCAGCCACAATTCCTTAAACCAATCATCACGATCAGGAAGACGGTAGGGTTCCTTATTTTTTCTTGTTACTCTGTGATCTCCAGCTGGTACTACAAGAATCCTTTCAACTATATCTCTTTGCACTCCAACCTCTTCTATGAGAAACTTGTGAAAGCCATCTTTCCATTTCTTGAGACGACCTTCAAATCTTTTCTTCTTAAGCTCTTTCCAGCTCTCCTCATCATCATCATCAGGCTCGGGCCCTTCATCTTTATCTCTTTCATCACGTCTTTCCACATCTTCATGGTTAGCAAATGTAAGAACAAGAACAGCATACTTCCAGAACTTTTGACCGAATTCTTTTGTAAGCTTTACTATGGCATGTTTGTCTTCATCTTTTAAACGATTGTTTGTCATTTTTGTGCAATAAAGAACTAAACTGAGTGTTTGACATTTCTTCTTCATATCATCTATGTACTGATCTTCATCCCCTGTGCCGTCTTGTAGGCCAGGTGAATCAAACACGGTGACTGGAACACCTTCGAGATCTGCTTTATACTCTTCAACTTTGGTTGTGATTCTTTCACTGCCAGCTCCCTCTACAGCAACCTTGGCACCCAGTAATCCATTGACAAGCGTGGACTTTCCTTCTCCTGACTTTCCCGTCACTAAGAGCCTCAGCCCCTGACTACCCTCTGAATCTTTGTCCCAAACTCTCTTTAATAACGACCCAATCTGTGTCCCCATTTTTCCAGCAGCTGTGTAGAGGTTACCATGGCCAGTAGCCATGATAATTATATCCACAAGAAGTGAAGATTCACAAAATTTAATACTGAAGTTAACAGTCAAGAGAGTCAGCAATGTAGATTGAAAAGACGGCAGCGGTGCATGGTCATCATTCCTGTGAATCTATGATGCATTCCCTAAATTTATAGATGTATAATATGCAAAATTTTTAAAAGAATTTCAAATAAAGTTAGCAAGAAGCATGAGTGAGTTCTATTTCATCAG